CGATCCGCTCGGACTGCTCAGCTGCTTCACAATCACAGCGAAGATAACTCTTCAAAAACTATGGCGCCTCAAGACCGGCTGGGACGACCCTCTACCATCCGACTTGAGCGAGGACTTCGATGCATGGTTGACAAGCCTGCCAGCAATCGACCAACTACGGCTACCCCGTAGTTACAACGGGGGGAGAGAAGTGCGTCGCCGTGAGCTTCATGTATTCTGCGACGCCAGCGAAGAAGCCTACGCAACGGCGGCGTATTGGAGGATGCACTACGGACCCGGCCATGTTATCGAGACAGTTCTGATAGCGGCGAGAGCTAAGGTCGCGCCCTTGGAGACCCAAACCGTACCGCGCCTGGAACTTCAAGCGGCCCTCATCGGAACGCGACTAGCGAAAGCAATCAGAGAAGAACACCGTGTCAACGTCGACGACACCGTGTACTGGAGCGACTCTCAGACGGTGCTTCATTGGCTGCGGAATGGAAGCAAGCGCTACACTCCATTCGTCGCACACCGTCTGGGAGAAATAACTGAGTCATCCAGACCGCAAGACTGGCGGTGGATACCGACACATCTGAACGTAGCCGACGTCGCCACACGCGCCGGATATACGCCAGCCAACGAAAACGACCTGTGGTTCACGGGACCATCCTTCTTGAAATTACCAAGATCGGAATGGCCGAAGCCACCAACGGATCGAGAAGATGACGAAACGACGGAAATAACACACGTCATCGCGCACACAACAGAGAGAAACGCGGCGTTACCGGAGATAGAACGATTCTCGACGTTCGAGCGACTGATCGGCGCAACAGCGCAAGCGCTACTCTTCGTGGAAAGATGTCGCGACAGAACGAAGACACTCAGCCGCGAACATTTCAACCGAGCTCAAGAAGGCGTACACCGAGTGGCTTCCCGAGCTGAAGAGAGAGGCGATGAACTACGATGCCACATGGAAATTCATCGCGCCGGGAGCACCTAACCAAGGCGGAGCCTGGGAACGCATGGTTCGCTCCGTGAAAACCGCGCTCAACGCCACATTAAAGGAACGAGCACCGAAAGAGGAGGTCCTGCACACTCTACTGGCCGAGGCGGAACATGCTGTCAATTCACGACCATTGACGCATGTCTCCGTAGATCCAAGCGATCCAGAGGCGCTAACCCCAAACCACTTCTTGTTGGGGTCATCGACCGGCCTTCCATACACCGGGCCATGTGAAGAGGGCGACCGCAGGACTTGGAGGGCGACGCAAGCACTAGCCGACGCCTTCTGGAAACGCTGGCTACGAGAGTACCTACCGACCCTCGTACCACGCCGCGACCCACAACGTCCACGAAGCAGCGAAGTACGGACCGGAGACGTGGTTATCATAGCCGACCACGCTCTGCCTCGAAACACGTGGCCACGCGGCATCGTAGCCAACACCTACCCTGGACCTGACGGCGTGATTCGGAACGTGGAGATAACGACAAGAGGAGGAACATTTCGGCGGCCGACATCGAAGCTGATCGTCGTCGAACCTGCACTCTCCACGGAACGATGAGAGAGGACGCGCTGCGCGACGGGCACGGGGCTGCCAACCGGAGGAGGCTGCGGAGATCCTTCGCCGGGGGGAGACTGTTGACGACAGCCACGTGCCGAAAAATGTACAGATCGAACGACCAATCACAGCGCCTACATTTGCGGAATTCTCGGGGAGCCCATTGGCTGCGTAGGCGCCGTCCGCACGGTGGGGGCGATTCCCCCACCCGGCGCGCGGGCGTAAAACGCGCTGTGATTGGTCGGCCGCCGCGCGTCACTAGTATCTAAGTTAGATGTTAAGTTTAGAATAAGGGTAGGGCCAAATTTGTAAATATTTGTAGTCAAGTCAAGTCAGTCAAGCAGTATAGTCAAGCAGTAATAAGTAGCCAGTAAGAAGAAAATATAATAAATCGTCTATAGAAGAAATTCGTCTTTGTTTTCACCATCATCCACGGTTATACAACATCGTCTACGGTTTGGTCCATAGAGCCGGATCAGCACCCTCAATACTATCGATACATCCAAGTGCTGCAGTCACTGTATGAAAACGCCACCATGTTAGTTCGGCTCCAGGACCAAAACTCGAAAGCAATACGACTTCAGCGCGGAGTGATACAGGGCGACGTTATATCGCCGAAATTGTTCACTGCCGCACTGGAGGACGTGTTTAAGCTTTTGGACTGGAGAGGACTTGGCATCAATATAAACGGCGAGTACATGACGCACCTTCGTTTCGCTGATGATATCGTAGTCATGGCTGAGACCATGGAAGATCTAGGCACAATGCTCGAAGACCTCTGTAGAGTTTCCCAGCAAGTGGGTCTTAAAATGAACATGGAGAAGACAAAAATAATGTCAAACTCCCATGTCGTACCCACTCCAGTGAATGTTGGAGGCTCTACACTGGAAGTTGTCGACGAGTACGTTTACCTGGGACAAATAGTCCGATTAGGTAAGTCCAACTTCCAGAGAGAGGTAAATCGACGGATCCAACTCGGCTGGGCAGCGTTCGGGAAGCTACGCAGTGTATTCTCGGAACAGCTACCGCAGTGTCTCAAGACGAAAGTCTTTAATTCGTGCGTGTTGCCAGTGATGACATACGGTACTGAGACGTGGCCGCTTACGATGGGCCTCATAAGGAAGCTCAAAGTCGCCCAGAGGGCAATGGAAAGGGCTATGCTCGGGGTTTCTTTGCGAGATCGAATTAGAAATGATGAGATCCGCAGAAGAACGAAAGTCACCGACATAGCCCAAAGAATTGCGAACCTCAAGTGGCAGTGGGCAGGGCACATCGCTCGCAGGACTGACGGCCGTTGGGGCGGTAAGGTCCTGGAGTGGCGACCGCGTACCGGGAGACGCAGTGTTGGTAGGCCCCCCACAAGGTGGACCGACGATCTGGTAAAGGTCGCGGGAAGCCGCTGGATGCGGGAGGCGCAGGACCTATCGATTTGGAAATCTTTGGGGGAGGCCTATGCCCAGCAGTGGGCGTCTCTCGGCTGAAGTGATGATGATGATGATGATGAACAGTTAGAGAATAAATCAAACACAGCCAAACAAATATGAAGCAGGGTGATTGAAATATTCTTGATGTCTAGTTTTTGATAAAAATGAAGCTAATCAGTTCAAGTGTATCAACGACTAGCTTTTCACTCCAGCTCACGTACTTTTCAAATGAACTGAACAAGACTAGCCGATGCGAACACAGACTATACAGCGTGTTTGGTAATACCTGTATAATCCCGAATATGGCCCATACGGTATGATGAATAGAACCCAGAAAAATAATCACTAAGACTGAAACCCAGCACATGACCTATATATTCAGCTTTTTTTCTTCGAAGTAAAACTGTATGCTGACAACCCTAAAAACAGCTGTTGTGTTGTATTTGGTCATCGACTCCATGTGCCGAACTAGTTTAAAAAATAACAGAAGTTAAATAAATCTAAAGATAAATGCCTAGAATAAATATGCATCTGAGAGGAATTTATTATTTCCAAACAAAGAAAAAGTTAGTAGTAAATGACTTTTAACTATAAAAAAACACTAATCTTGTGATTAACGGTGTTTCAAAAACTATTCATATGAAAACTTCTGTAATAATACAGTCAAAATAAAAAAGAAATTGCAAATACTTTGATTGAAGTTCAATATCTGCACCATTGCTCACATTAGTCTATGCAAGAAGGAGCGAGAGAGACATAAAATCGACGACGATGTGTATTGAGAAACTCGAGTTTCTGATGTGTCAGTAAGGTTCTGTAGATTATTTGCTTTGAAGTTTTGTTATTTTTTTCATAAAGCCGTGTTATTTTCACGAAACAATAAAATACGGACTTATACAATGATATTAATAATCTAAGTATCTCGCTTATTCTTAGTTTAAATGATAATTAAATAAAGGTTAGTTGTATTGGAAAGGTCTAATAATAAACAATATTTCTTGACGCGGAACCCCAAAATCGGTACACTTTTGATTTAGGTACATTGGTGTTCGAGTTGCAATAATAATAACCTATGTAGTTTTGGTCATCGCGTCAGTCGCGTCCGTGACTTTCATCGGCGTACTTGTGAGTTTTCAGAATTTAGAAGGTCAACTTACGTTTTCGTTCTTTCGGGACTTTTGGTTTGTTTTTCATTCTCGTTCTGTTTACCTGTGTATTACGTTTGTGTGCGGTCAGTGCAATAAATTCGTACTCAAATGCCTAATATTACGAGATGATAATGTGTGGCGGTGCTTGTGACGGTAATCTTGCTGCGGCTCGGCGGCGTTATGACGAGCGCCACGTGTCAGGAAGATCTGAAAACCATCGACGTCTTCCTTCTTACCGGTGATTCGCGGCATTTGTGAATTGGTTACATACAACTGGTTCATTCCATAGTGTGCCACAGGTAGGCCGGCCGATCACCTATTCCATCGAGACAGAGGATATGACTTTACGTCGAGAGTAACACGACACGGTCTGTGGCGAGTGAAGTGTAGGTAATGTTGACAAGTGAAAGCTGAAAGAGTGATTAGAATGCTATAGGTATGTACCTATTTAATCTTAAATTGTTTTAATTACAAGTAAACTCATACGTAGTCGAGTGCGCGCGTCGGCAACATCAAAATGTATTCAAGGAAACGAGAGAGTGAGAGGTAATGAGAGAGAGAGAGAGAAAGAGCGAGTGCGCCGTGACGGCACGTGTAAGCTTACAGGGTTGTAGCATAGTAATTGAAAACAAATTGTTCAAATATTTGTATGAAAATATCAATTTACATGAAATTGTTTTTTGACCTATCAATTGTGTTCTTTGTGCTAGGTTGTATGGCCATGTTTCGGGATTATACAGGTATTACCAAACACGCTGTATAGAGAATTACGAAAGAGCGTTTTGTGGTATTGTTTTCTATAATGCTCCTTTTATTAATAATACACTGAACATTTAACCATCGACTTTGATGTCGCCCCTTATGCAGTATTTAATTACTCATTTTTACCATTAATATGAGTAACATTTCCTTTCCGCCGAGCCTGGGTTATTTTGAACGTTGTCCTTTGCCTTTTTGAGTTTCCATATTGCCCGAAAGCCCTATAAAAAATACTATTCATTTATTTCTACGACCAGCAACAGTTTTCTTTGAAAGAATTTTGACCACTTATACTATTTTTTTTTTTATAGAATAGGGGGCAGTCGAGCAGACGGATCACCTGATGGTGAGTGATTACAGCCGCCCATGGACAACTGCAACACCAGAGGAGCTACAAGCGCGCCTTTGAGGGACGAATAAGCTCTAGTAAGAATAATAATAATAAGACTGTTGAATACGCAGTAACAACACACTTTACTGCATTTTGATTAGTTTAAAAAACTATGTGCGTGTGTGTGTGTATGTGTGTGTGTGTGTGTATGTGTGTGTGTGTGTGTGTGTGTGTGTGCGTGCGTGTGTGCGTGCGTGTGTGTGTGTGTGTGTGTGCGTGCGTGCGTGCGTGCGTGCGTGCGTGCGTGTGTGTGTGTGTGTGTGTGGTGCGTGCATGTACATACCTGTTGGTGCGTCATCGGTTCGTACGGCCGCCTGCGGCAGTACGTGTATATCTCGTGCAGGGTGACCGCGAACGCCCAGACGTCGCTGCGCGTCGAGTACCGGCCGCGCAGCACGCTCTCCCACGCGGCCCACCGCAGCGGCACCGCCGCGTCGCCGCCCGCGCGGTAGTAGTCGCCCGCGTACGTCTCGTTGTCCGTGCCGAAGTCGCTTATCTTTATCTGGTACCCTTTGCCTATCAGGATGTTCCTGCAGCACGCATAAGGGAGATAGATACACGCACGGTTATATGCTCACTTCAAATCACAGGATGGATCGTATTTATATATAAATTGTTAATGTTTATTTGCTATAGATACATTAATATTCATTTAATAATTTGATAGCTAAGTTTTGTTACCCTCGAGCTGGATGTGTTTTTGTATAAATTTTACTAGCACAAAAAGTACAAACCAACTCTACCTTAAGAGTACTATGGGAGCTTTCTCGTCGATATAATTTAACTTTTTGGCTTCTCAACAGTCGAACATAAGTTTTTTGATGTTCAAGACTGGATTCGATCGGCAGCCGACTGCTATAATCGGTTAAAATATTTGCAATATTTGCACCATAATGGTATTTTTCTTATATTAGTTAGTTTTAGATGTACATAATGACATTGGAACGCAATGACAAAAGATGGCGTTTTAGTGGGAAATTTCGTAAATAAAATTTATTAACCTGGCGGCGAGGTCTCTGTGCACAAAGTTCAACGACTCTAGGTACTTCATGCCGGCGGCCAGTTGCGTGGCGATGCGCGCCAGCGCCCGCGGCGGCGGCGTGGTGGCGGCGGCGGCGGTGGCCGCGCGCAGGTACGCGCACAGGTCCCCCTCCAGGTACTCGAGCACCACCGCCAGCGGGGGCGACCGGCACGCGCCCACCACGCGCGCCAGCTGCGGGCACGACAGCGCCGCGAGCACGCGCACGTCGCGCTCGAAGTCCTCCCTACGGGCGGACACGCGCACGCATGTACACACCGTACACGTATGTACGAGTGTAGCACAGAGGTTATGTCCGACTACTACTGACTAAACATCGCCTTGAAATACGACATCGAGATCGAAATGTTAGCAGTTAATTAGCTCGGCTCATCGGACTAAACACATAACACCACTGTAACTACCATATAGGGATAATAATTCATTTTTTCTTTTATATTTGGTAGATTATAAAAAAAATACATACACATAAACTACGTTATCAATATAATTGTGACGTCTCCTATTATCTAACTTATTATATGTATCTAATATTTTTCTATTAGCAGACTGATGAATCAAATATAATATCTTTGTTTTTTCACCCCGACACCATCTTCATTAACATGAAAACCTATTTATATTTCTCCGAAAAGGTAAATTCGAAAACGTAACATAATTTAAAATCATATCCGTGAAGACTACCTGCACATCAGAGGCAGGATCGAAAAATACATTTCTGCCAATTAGCATTTACAAAATTAACATACATTTCCACCGATCATCATTTACAAAATAAACGAAATTTTGTTTTCAAAGTAAAAGAATAAACCTTCAAGTCTCTTTCATGTTGTTGTAAACAGTAAAATGCGTTCATCGCTAAAGTGCCCTCGAGCCCAACATGTAACATTTTGGTCAACAATATGTATGCTACAGTATAAGGTAAATATGTTACATTCATTATTGATATTATAATATCAAATTAATACTCCACCATTACTGGAATCATCAAAATATTACTTTAGTAGACATAAAAGCTAGATTTATTTATCAATGAAATAACAGTTTCAAGATTAAATTTAATGTTTTAAAAATATATATACCTCTCTTTGGCGGTAGCGTCGTGACAGAGGAACTTGACGGCTACGAGCCGCTTTTCCGCTGTCACCGTGCCGTCATACTCGGGAACACCATCCGCTTCGGCAACATACACCTGAGAAAGAAAGAGTAGTTATGTGTGGAGATCTGAATTGGAATGTCAATGTTTTGCTGTCACTTTGACGTTTGATCTGAGTCGTGCCAACATAATATAATTATAACTAATGACACGTGTCGAATTCCGAAATCCACGCCGCCTTCTTGTAGCGTGACAATCGTTGAGAGATTTTTTAAAAAGGTTCCGGGTTGTTCATTAGATAATTGGAAATCTCTTATAATATATTAACATCTGGCAAAGACAATTAAACCATGATATTAAATAAAAATAGAACAAGTAGTAACATACTGTGCCGAAAGCTCCCTCCGCCAGTTTGGAGATCATCCTGAGCCGATGCCGCGGGAACTCCGCCACGCTCGCGGTCTGCAGCCGCCGCTGGAGTTCTGTCACCGCCTCCTGTTGACTCGCAGACTATAACATACAAACGGTGACAATAACAATTACTAAAAATAGCGGCATTAAACACACACCGTCTGTGAAAATTTCAACTGTCTAGTCATCACGAATAATGAGATACAGCCTGGTGGCAGACGAACATACGGAGAACGGTGTCTTTGGGTATGTGAAGAAATAGAATGTCAAATTTATGAAAATCACAATTTATTATTTTATATATATCATGTGTTACATAACAATCTATTTGGGATTTACTTTTTTGTCGATATTAGAAACCATAAACATCGTCACTACGTCAATAAATAGATACGATAAACCGGACAAATTAACCTGACAATGTTGAAAGTAAACGATACATTTTTTATTGCTATTGTGAAGTCAGTGTGACCTATAGTGTCCTGTACAACAAAACGCCTGTAATACTAACAGAATAGTTAGTATGTGATCGATGTGTGTATGTACTGACCCTTGGCGGGGGTGCGGGGGCCCGCACCGAGCCCGGGGCGGAGCACCGACCGAGCGAGTCCACGGGCGCGGGGGGCGGGGGCGGCTCGCTGCCCGCGCGCCGCGACAACAGCGGCTCAGAGCTCACCTCGGGCACCGCGTACTCGTAGTTACTGCTGTCTGTATACAACACAACACACACCACCACCACACATGTATTACTCGTTTTTATTTAACACATATTCACATCTTCGTACTAAAATAAAAGAAACAAAAACGATCTTTCTGATCGACTTTCGGGTGTCATGTTAATTCGTACAAATAGTACATTGTGTGGAAAGGAAACAACATTCGAAAATGTTCCCACGTATGGAGCATTCGTGTAATGTTAGGGATTGATGAATTACATTATCAGAGGAAGGTAAATATTTAATACAGGCTGCAACAATTGGAAATATTACATTACAGTCTAACGATTCAGGGGGTGACCGGGTAACTAACATGTTGACATTCGATTCGTTCAGAATGCACTCAATTTTCTACAGTATGTTGTTAAATAGAGGAGAATTAAATTTATTTGATTTAAGCATAATTACGTGTTGAATATCGAGCGCATTTTGATATAATTGAAAATTAATTAAATCGAAGGCAATGTAGTTTCGGGATACGTCTGCAGGTGGGGTGCTCCACCTTTAGATATTACCGCGTTTCGATTATTTCTGATGACACCGAGGAAATATTTCAGATTTTTTGCTAAATTTTTAAAATTCTAATTCGAAAAATATATCAATATTTCCAAGGGAGAAAAAAAATATGAACTTTCACACCATACAGACAATTGAAATTGTTCTATTTGTCATATGAAAGCATATATTTAGTGTGTCATCATAAAAACAAATTAACTAAATATACATATAGTATAAAACCAAATCGATTACCGTTGCCTATACACTGCGATCTTTTAAAATACTCAACACAACTTAATGCGGTTATAAATAATGGACAGAGTAATTCAAGAGAAAGGTTCGTCTTTATAATACAGAAACTTATAATAAGTGATGCCTCAATTACAAGCTGGCACAGCATGCACAAATACAATGGAGGAAATATATGAAAGAAATTTAATAAGATTACACTTATTCATCCTATTCTTATGTTAATAATTATTTATCCTTTACAGCAACAATCATGTTTCATTTAAATAAGTGAAATTTTGATAAAAAATATATTAATTGTTAATTTTCACAGTGACATTATATTGATTCTGACTTCTATTTAATGCAGAATTAATCTAGCATGCTCACGTGGAATATTAATTTGTTATAAAAGATCTGAGCAATCTAATGCACCGTTACCAATTTTATATAATTGATCAAATAATCGTCTACGGTCCTGTAGACTAGATACATTCAAATATTACAATCGTTCGTTATAGGAAGCTAATTCTTTAGTCATATTATGTTGTTGCCGACAGCCTTACCAGGTTTTGATATATTATTACTGGCCTATTTAAGGAGGCTTTTATACTTATTTATAATTTATATTTTTTTTACCGTTTTTGACACATTTATAGACGATTATACTCGTAACTGTCACGATATTATTTACATAATACAAATATTTCTACTTTAATTCCTTGGCACGAACTCTGGCTGCGGTGTGTAAATTCTTGTTTTTTGGGCTGAGAATTTCAACAACAAAGACGCCACTTTTCTTGTCGTCGATACCCAGGATGTTTGTATTAAGTTTATTATGGGGATAAGACTTATTAAAACTGCTGCCAAAATGGAATCCCTTGTCCTTGGAATATAGAACGTGGCCTGGAGCTGTTGGAGTTCATTTTAGCAATCCTTGAACAGTACAGGACGTCAGATTCACTAATCCGATGGTTAACTGCTAGACCAACTTGTTTAATTAAGCTGATTATATTTTCCGAACTATGCTCAGGTTCACATTGTACTTTAAGGGAACTGGAAGACTCAACTGTATGACTATTGCACGATGTAAATAAATTCCTCCATTACTGGGTTACCGATCACTACATACAACAAAAAATTTAACGGCTATTAATAAATATTTCCAAATTAAAATGAAATGCCAAGTTTATCCTTATTTTCTGACAGATGATGCACAGCTGATGATACAACGTAGGAATCAATACTTTTAATCGATACCTACTTGTATCAATTAGTTTTAAAATGCCTCACAATGTCATCATTTTTACAGTTTTTTCAGAGTAGATTTGATACTATTGATAGTCAATAGCTTTACTCTGTTAATGAAGAAAGAGAAGTAGGTCTAGATATAAAAGGCGGCGCATATAGGTATAATGTATTTGGTTAGGTATTGCTTCAAATTTTGTTGGCAGTGCCCCCTCTATATAGATCTCTGAACTGCATAAAATTAGTAGGGGTTAGTAATTATTAGTCATACAGGGACAGGGCAGCGTCCCTGTCGCTTGTAGGACTTTTTCATAAGATAGACTTTAGACACCATAACACAGAGTAAACACACTAATGCTCGCGAGTTTTTGACACTCTTCAGTGACTAACGGACCAAGTACCGATACAAACGCTTACTTTATTACTTCACGATACTATTTACTACTCCGTTTTAAAGTATCGCTGCCATAAGTACTTGGTTTCGATAGAAAAGTATCAAGTAAGTGTTTGTATTTCCTCGTATCGATTCGTCCCTAGACGAGCTGACATAAAAAAACACACCTGGCCCATTTTATTAGTACGATAGTATGTACGATGGTGTTGTTTGTTTTTTGTTGAAATAAAACACAGAATTTATCAAAAGTATGAAATGTTAAATCATTTCTAATATTTTATTGATATGAATAAAATATTTTTATTCTTTAATCGAAATAGGAGAATTTATTACAATCATACGAAATCGTAAAGATTATTTCACAACTTAAAAAAAAAAAAGAAATGAATTATCTATGACATTCTGTATCATTCAAATCGTCATTCGTTCCTAAAGCAATTGTGACTTTAAAAGTTACACAATTCCATTAATCACCATCACAACCACTATACGTTTGAAAATGATTGTGATAGATTAAAAAATTAGACAATTAGGCCACGGGATACATGTTCAGAACAGAAAGATACCAACGCTATTTCTTGATTATTTTGCGTTTTACGACGCATCGCAGTGAATGTTATGTCAGCAAAGCCTGTAGGTGTGGACGGTATTATTAACGAGTTTGAGTTATCACCATTTGGCTGTTTATTGAGTCAGTTAGGACATGGTCAGCTTTAAACTCGTTTGATATATCTGCAGGTGCATAGTAATTAAGGCATAAATGGTGATAAAAATCACTGCATATTGAGCACTCAAAATAACCATCGTTTTCAATCGTTTAGCGGCATATTACATAGTTTTAATTCAGTTTTAGATACTTTCTAGGTATACTTGCACTAACTGACTAGGAGTCAGATAATACAATAACTATTTATAATTGTTCCGCTGTACTTTGGTGTACTTGTGTGCGTGGGAACGAGATGCGCTACATAATGCCAGTACAATAAATGCGTAGATTGGGGAGCGTGACCGGTCGAACACGACGATACAAAACAACCGTGCACGCGTAACTATACGCTCAGATATTGAGATAAAGTTGAAATTTATTTCAATACGAGTTTTTATCAGAAATATAAGAAGTAAATTCTATGCAAATGGTGGGGAAGCTAAAATATAAGCTATATAAAATAACAACAGTACCTGATAGCGCAGTATTAGAATCCTTGACGAAATCCTTCATTTCTAGTAGCACAGTGCTGTAGCCGAAGTACGGCGCGCACTTGAGCGGCTGATACGGCTCCTGGTAATCGTCGCACTTGACCTCCGGCTTGTCCGGCGCCGGACGCGGCTCGTGGCGGGCCAACGGTGACGCGAAACACTTCCGGTGCCGGTGGCGATGCACCGCCAGCGACACGGCCACCAGCAGCAATATAACCAGAGCCGTCAGCACACCCACCACTATGGCCAAATACAGGGGGTCGTCTTGTCTAGCTGTCGATACTGGAGCCTCCTTGCTAGTGGTAGCTTTTGTCCTGTCTTTGCCCAACGGTTTTAAACTTTCCGCTGAGTAGTTCCCTTGGGCGACGTCTGGAACAAGATATAATTCAATTAATGTCTCTTGTGCCCTCGTTCGAAAACACTATTCAACCATCCAAAATTTCCCAGCTCACCACACATTTGGTCGACATGTTTCAATTACCAATAAAGTTTGGGGGAATTTAGAAAGTCCTCCTAAAATTATACGATAAATCAAAAAGCGGAATTTTTCAATATTCCTCCATTACACTTTATATTCTAGATTGATATCAAGGAATCGGGAGACGTGTATATTAGACCTTAGAAATCCGATGCGAAGATGTCGATAGAATGAATACGAGCAACCCCGTTATAATGTCAAACAGGTATATTATTAAGATATAAATACTGACCGCTGTCGAAGACGACCTCGCTGATCAGTATCCACCTGGCGGCGAACCTCAGCTGTATCCGCACCCATCGGCCGATACGGTGGTGCAATTTGATGGTGACGTTGCGGCTGTTCTCAAAGATATGGTCCGGCTCCGGGGTGTAGTGGATCGAGTCCTCCTGGAAGTGCTGCCCTCCCACCGAGAACGAGATCACCGCCTCCGAGAACACCTACACAACACCATTCTTACAACATTATTTTGTACAAGATTTTAATAGTTTTTTTCTGGTTTAGTATGGTGCCTACTTACTTATATTTAACTAAAATATGTAGTTGTAAACAAACTAGCAATATCGACAAAATTGGTCTCCAAAAGTGGAGGTCATTATAAAATATGTCACATTACGCAAATGCTCACCTTTTAGCGTTTCTTAAAATCGCTAGGTGACTCTTTGTCATTGGTGAAACGCATTTTCACTTTAGACAATGTCCAAATATTTAGGTGTCAGATTTGGGCGACTCCTAAGTTTAATGAAAATGTTCATTACTCTTTGGCCTTAACGAACGTGTCAAGGGATAAAATCAATTTAGTAAGTTGGAATCGAGGAGTTTATATTTTACTATTAAGATATAAACTATTAGATTTTTAAATACCCATGAGATATCAATACCTCATGGGCATCCTTTTCTCTTCCCATTTCTAATAAATTATTAGTCTAAGAATAGAGAAAATATATATCAATATTCTAAACAAAATGTTCAGACCAACACTACTCTAGTAGGGATCGTCTATATTAATCAATGTTTAATGAATATCGATATTTAGCTGAAAACCTTTGTTTTAATTTTGATAACATCTACATAGCGGTTTTTTTTTTTTCAGTATGGAGCGATGTTTTGAAAATATATAAATATCGGATTACTCAATATACTATTTTAAGTAATTTTACGTGAATTGGTCGTAATAGTTAGATCTACATTCGATTTCACCGACACCAGAGCTTAATAAAATAGGATGTTGTCTAAAAAAATTGTTTTTTTTTAATTTACATGTGCCACAGATTTGAAATTGACATCGAAAATTGGCCAGATATATCAAAGTGTAGACCCAATCATAAGAAATGCTGTTGAGTATTGATTGTTTTTTTTATACATATATGTGAAAGTAATTTCTTTTGTAATGTAACCGTCGCGTCATAGAAAAATAAAAACGTATTAATTAATGTATGTATGTACTGATTTATTATTTAAAGTTACTAACACAAACACTCTATTCAGGTTTTTTAGAAATGTATTAATAAGTACGCAATAACTTCAGGTATCGATACTTTTTGATATTGATATTTTTGATACCATACTGGTATCGAGTAAAGTATCGATACTTTGAAATTTTGCGGAACCCTATCCATGCTTTACCGATGTATTTGCTACATTAGTGCTATTTATATTTATGAATTAAACTATGGACCAGTGACGACAGGCATTTAAACAGTTACTTTTATATTGTGGCGTATCGAGATATTTACTCTGAAGTGATTTGCTGTGTTGAGATAATAACTCTAGTAGTAATCTATATTGTACAAATTCACTTCCTAAGTGGCTTTTTATTTTATTTTTTTAGAATATCTTTATAATATATTATTGTAATATTGAATATCTATAAATTAATAAGTGTTGTACTTGGCTATAGTTCTAAAAATAGACTTGCTGCGGTGCTGCTAAGTTCGCGGCATTATTTTTTTTTTTACGTGTATTATACTTATAATATTGCTTAAACTTATTATGAAAAAATAAATATTTTATACTCGTTATCACGTGACCGCGAACAGTACGTGACGTCACGCCCTTCCTACTCATATCAGAGCTTTGGGAATTCAACCTTAGGCATACATTGAACGATATTAGTTTCAGAGGACCGTGTCATCATAGCGACACCATGACAGAAGTGGCGTTGTCCCGGGAACTTTAAATTTATTTTTAGATTTTAACTTGCTCATTGAATGATATTTTTTTGATAAATTTCATGTATATATTTGTCGCATCATCATTACGAAGATTGTTTGATTTAGTTTCTTTTATTTTAATTGGTAGTTACTCGATTGTAAAGAGAGCGTGATCATCGATACTTTTAATTTTATTAGAATGGTGACAATGACTTGGACAGTTCGTTAACAAAAGCAAATTGCCGCCATTTTGGCACACATTCTGTTTCCGATCGCCGAGGAGTAAAGACGACATCACGCTCATCTCGTTTTATTTTCATGTGAAAAGTGATAAAATGGAATAAATCCACGTTGGTATACACGCCTACAATGTTATTTTAAAGATAGTCCCCTGATATGGACGTTCTATTTGGGCTTCGTATTAGTCCATTCGGACTATCCGCCGTTATATATAAAAATTTATAAAAAAACTTGTCTCCACCCCCATTGCACACTCACATTTACTTACATTAATATAACAGCTGGATAAGATTAATTATTATAGTTCTATAGGTATAAGGACAGACACTATTTTTAAGATAGCTTTTTCAAATAATATTTACTTTTAATGAATACTAGGTTTAGCCTGCAACTCCGTCGTATATTCTTGTCAAATACCTGAATACAAAGTTTGATAGTTAAGCTTTGACAAATTCACTTCGGCATATATAATATTGGTGGGTATTATCTTCATCCAGGGGAGGCAAAACTATCTGTAATGCAGTTCGTTTGACTGCTCTAAACTTTGAGCTAATAATTTTATTTCATTATTATTATAAACGTGTAGATATCATTTTAATATCAATCTAAAAAATGCAATCAATTTCCAACTCTATATCAATAGTATAAGACTGGCAATAAATAGCTCTTCGTGTTTTTTCAACACAACGTAATTGTTATGTGAGTACTAAACGAATGTCGTAATCTTACCACTGACTTTAACAAATGTTTCAGTTTTAATAACATTCACACGTGGCATGTTTTTTATTGAAACACACACTTGTGTCAGTTCAGTACGCGACATGCCGCCGGCGCACGTGGCACATGCGTACAAATAAACAGAGTAATCTAGATTTATTTTATTCGTATCATAAGCTAAAGCCTGTTTCACATTTCATAAGTTTAATTGCGAGTTAACTGGCGTCATTGGGAATTCAAGATGGCGTATACTCCAATCATGCACCATCAATCCACCTTCTATTCAAGAAGTCATGCTACTAATTAGAATAAAGAAAAAAAAAGAGCTCTACATAGACATGGACATGTACCTGTACGTCCCGCATGAACCGGTTGTTGCAGTGTATGTGTACAGCGCTGAACTCCCTCACTTTGTCGAACTCGAATGTGATATCGGGCGGGGGCGACGTCGGCGACGTCGGCGAGTCGGACCGCCAGCCGACCCATGCGGGCTGCCGCGCCGCCTCGCGGATGTCGTCGCCGCCGAACCGGCCGTCCACCAGCTGACCGAGCCCGCCCCGCAGCCACTCGCCCCACGACCCGTCGTACCACGCGTCCGACAGCTCCGCGCCGTTGCTGCGCTTGTGCCCGCGAGGCATAGAGTACGACACGATGCCCTCTGTAACAATTATATCGATCAATTAAACGACGATTTGAGTTTGGTCACATAATTAATTATGAGATGACTTGCTTAGTTGAATAAATTAATATATACACGCTATCCTATGCTACGATATTATCGTAGCGTGTTAAAGAAAATTGAAATTCGTGCGTTGATAAATTATAAACTTTTACTACCGAACGAGTCTTAAATTACGACAGAAAAAAGGTATACCTGCAGAGTTGTATATTCGCGCTCGAACTCTACCGAACGGTGTTTGTTACTCAAGAAATGGTACCAAACGATAATCATTATCGTCTTATTATTATAAACTTACGATTGAAGCCGAGAAAAGAAAAAAATGAAAACTTTGCGTACAAAGCATTTTTCAATATCATTTTGGAATGGGAGTTTGCTGTCATTTCATTTTTCAGTTGTACTGAAAAGCTTTCCCGCCGTGGATTCACTAACTATGGCATAGTATTTAAAATTCACAAGTAACAGTCCCGATAGAATAAATTAATTTGAGTTTAGGATTGTTCGCCTGTATGGGCATGCGAGTCAATCAACTGCAGGGGCTCTTAAAAGTTTAACCGGATCAGCAGGTTCCGGGTTCGAAGCTATATCCTTCACCTGACATATCGACACTTAAGAACCAAGACCATCTATCTACACTTTTGACGATTTTCAATTTTTAATGCAGTTCTTTTCATGGTTAATTTACGCATCGTTTCCTTTAATCGATAACCTCAAATTCGCAATATATAAGGAGTTATGAGAAAATACCTATACCATCTAAGTTACGTGTCGTAATAATTGTGTGGAAATACCACCTATCTATAGAGAACACTTAATAACTTGTTTTAAAATTTGATAAAACTAAGAGTTTTTTGTTTGATTAAAGTCTTTAATCTATATTATTTCGTTAGCCAATACCATGTATATTTTAACTAATACCAGCTATCTGCAGTAATTTTGAAACTAATAAAGATTTCTTGAAATACACTTTTCCTATGCCTATCCGTTTAAAGATCGGATATAAAAATGTAAAATTTTGTTGTAGAAAAAATATGAAATGTTTTTTTTTTTCGTCTCCTGTAAATTCGATTTTTTGCAGATAGATGGTCTTGGTTCTTAAGTGTATTTTCGTTGACCGATACCATCTCGTATTTTTAGTTATGTAAATAAAATAAAAGAAATATGCAATCATGCTTTAATATAATCTCTAATATACACTCAATATAAGTGTTATTTAGCTTTAAATTGTAGATTGTGTTGAAGGACTGTCTAGACTATTCCCACGGGCAATTCCGTCAGGGATTTCTCTATGGACCTTTTTTCCCATCAGCTTCAGAACCTATAGTCCCCCGGCAGGCCATGGAGAAGCCATGTTTCCACGACTTCAATAGAGTCCGCCGGGCTGAGAGCAATAGAACTTCCGGATGCAGGTAAAAATAAACGCCTAATAGTTTTTAAAAATAATATAATCTATTCAAGTTTTATATAAAAATTCATATTCACAACAGCAGGCATGTAACAAAAGCTATTTAGACACAGTTGGCAACAATAATGTAATATTTATATTATATATTTTACTATTGTTTTAAACGAGGCGCGGAGTTTACTTGTTATTACTAGAAATACGTGCGTCAGATTATTTATATTCCGCACGTAAGGCACCTGGGTTGCGCCCGCGCATGTTATACATTGATTAAACAAAGATCGCCGGTTATGACGCACCGTTCGGAGATCGATTCCATTATGTAACTAATTTCGCTTCGGTTTAGACGAAAAGAAGAGCCTATATCAAAACCAGATACAAAAGGATGACTTGTCTCTTCCACGTGTCTTGAGCGAAAAATGTCTAAATATTATTTAGATTACAGGTACTAAATCCCGTTCAAATGTTATGTTCATCAAAGTATCTTTTTTAAAATTATGAGAACCTCACGTTATAATGTTATTAACAGTAATTTCTTCGTATCTTCTATTTTTTCTTTAAAAGAAGTATAAATCTTTATACATTGGTGATAGATAACGATATATAGTTTATTCGCTTCAGAGTCGTCATTTCTATTTAAATACAAATTCAATCTGACGCGACTAGCGCGTTCCCATTCCACTAATGGAATAACTGTATTTATCGATGCTCCAGCCTTTTTCCCGTCAGTCTGTTCTGGATTTATTTGATTTGCATCGAAGTGTAAGCATTCAGGCACAAGAGCGCTAGCTCTTGCATGTCGTTCAGGAGCCCGAGCGCCTAACTGGAAGCTAAACCCATTGCTTTGGGTTTACGTTAAGACCGGTTGTAATTTTTTATCAATAAATATATTTACTTTAAAGAATATGTGTATGTCGTGGTCATATCACAGAATTGAACATTTCATGAAATCGATCATCAAATTTTTGACGCTTCAAAGTCAACATTATATAGTATGGCAATCCTCGTTTAGTCATATCATGAATGTAGTGTCCAAGAAAGAAATTTAATTATTTGCTGAAATAGTTTGTTTATAAGTTAGCGTTACGATTTTGTGATCTGAAGGAAATTACCTCGAAACACATCTTAAATTTGTAACCTATAACGTACAGTAATGAATGTAATGAATAACCTACAGTAATGAATTATATATATAGGTGATATAGTTCAGCTTATATTTCAAAAACTTTTATATCCTCCAATATATTTTTTTCATCCTCTGGAGTTAGATCAAAATAATCTTTATCATAATCTTGCGACACATGCATAAAACTGTAGAATAGCCTTTACCGCCACATAGTCGTCGTCGACGCACTACAATCCTACAATTATCTCACTTAATCAAGTAATTGTTTTCCGGTGCTTGGTCACCATACTTATTTTCATTTGTTATATAACCTAAAAATAAAAATTTATAATGTATAACAAATGGCTATGTTTGTGTAGCAAAATGAATAATTGTTCGTACGATCAAGTTATGTAACTGAAAGAAGTTTGAGAACCGACCCGAACAAACTGGTACGTACAACGATACCCAAAATAAATAAAAAAATAGTCTCTTTACGTGTAGAACTATCTTTAATAAATACCTAATAATATTAAAGATTTGCCGGCTACTCGTTTTTAAATATTATTGCGTAGATGGCTGATTGAAAAAGCTTTTTACTCGATTGGTGAATTCCTCAACGAAGGATAGTTTATCAGTAATTAATTTGTAAGCATGAAAGTCGATGCAAAGTTTTATAAATAATTTTACATAATTGCATCTGACCTACTTATGTTTATTAAACTAAATTCCTCGACATGTTCAATAAGTTTAATATTTCCATTTGACATATTATACATTTTTAAATTTTTTTTATATACAATTTGATAAAATTGACATGATTGATGACAAATTGAAATGAGAATGTTAATATAACTTTAAGTTAGCATGCAAATTAAAAGACACATATTCATGTAATTGAATTGATTAAAAAAGAATAACAATCTATATACTGTGATTATTATAATTTTTATTTGACGTTTATTTTTTCAATTATTTACTGTAATTAATTCAATCGACTGACTTGTACTGTAATAATTTACTGAAGTTTTGACACAATTGTAATATTTTTATTAGATGTAATTAATATTGTACTACTGTAATTAATATTGTTAAATTTGACAAAATTTTATGTTTTTATGAAATATTTTAAGTTTTAATCATTGTAATACCTACATCTGTTTTTTTTTTGCATGCTGTTCAAGATGGCTATATAGGTCAAAGGTCTCACTCAAACTTAAATAAGAATATATATGATATAACCCTATTTATTGCAAATAAAGACATTACTATTATTATTATTACAAAAGCAACGCGACATAAGCATCTCTTACTGAGACTAAAGTAATTATTTTACGATATGATCACTAATGCTTGGCCAAATGATGTCAAACAGTCATACGATCAGCCGCTCATATCATTAAATGCAAATTATTCATTGATCTGGCCAGGCCACATAATGATCTAGGGCCTAGATCATGATTGCCTAGATTCTAGGCAGTAGGTATTTTCCATTATATGAAATACGACCATTTCAAGAAATGGCCGGCTGCATCATGAATTGGTCAATTCTACGATCTGGCCACGACATGTACATAATATAAAATAAGTAATAAAAAATAAAAGTGTGTAAACGAAAACACCCTTTATACAAATAATGTTATTTTTTTTCTCTTTATTTTGGCACAAACAGTCATTAAGGAAAAAAGTGCTTAAATATAGATAGTGCTTATATTATAGACAATACAGTGCCGAAAACGATAAACAATAATTAACAATCTATAAAACAGTAAGAAACTTGTTGAAATAAATTACATTAGAATTAACAATTTTTTACATGCAATTATGAACACTTCATATCATGCTGCCTATTTTTTTTTTCCAACATTATTCGCTTTGACCCTATTAAAGAAATGTTAAAAATATCATTTGTTATTGCAAGCACTTTTGAATACTTACAATGAAATATATAAACTATCAAAACTAACTATTATTTTTTTCGAGCCAATTATTAAAATTATCATTTACGTTTTAACAAACCAATAATATAACCAATTTTCTTTTTTTGTTGAAATTAGCACATCGCCAGCTTACAACTCGTCCAAATAAATGCAAACATAGTGAAAACTCGCCTCGGCAGTGCCCAAGGCACGACATTTACACCTAATTATTTACATCGCGTTACAAACTGTCACGAATGCTACGTACCTAACTATAGGTATACACACCCATGTATGTATACATGTTAAACATAAGTTGGCAGTGCCTGCCGGCGAGATGACGTTGATGAATTTTTAAAAGCACAAGGTAGGCGCGTTGCATTTTTAACGTGCACGTGTCTAGACGAGCGCCGTAACATTTACTGTTCGCACGCCTACTGATGCCTATTTTATTTTCTCATGTACAAGTAATGCTTCTCATGCGGAGCGTAAGAAATTAAAAAAATATTTTTCATTTACTCGGTAAAAAGTAGCCCATGTCACTCTTCATATCTCCAGAAAATTATACCATAACGACGCTCTGTTGTGTATGACGTAAGGAGGGTAAACTAACACACTTTGGGATTTATAACAGAATTCGAAGTGAGACAAAATACTATAGGCTAATTCGTGGCGTTAACAGTTTTAAAGTATTAACGACTGCAGGTGACGAAATCTCCTTAAGACAAGATTGTAAGAAACGTTGTAAGAGTTGTAGAAACATATATTTCAATAATTGGCTCGATAGAAAAAATATCGACTTTTTGATCCATTTACGACTATTATACGAGTATAATTCATCTAACTAAATAAAAAATAGTTTTCGATAAATTGCTTTAATCATATTTTTTATACCACCTAGGTATCGATACATTTACTCGATATCGTATCGTTAATGACGTATCGACACCTAATAGGTATCGAATGAAAAGCATCGATACTTGTATGGAATAGATTTAATAATGCCTCACCAATGACGTTATTTTTATAGATTTTAAGAGAAGACTCGATACTATTGCTATCCAATAACAATACTCTATTTACGGAAGAGAAGCAGGTACAGGCATACAAAGCGATACATAAAGTGAGGTATTGCTTTAAAGTTGTTGTTGTAAATGTCCTCTTTTGATAAATCTCTAACTTCATAAAATTAGTAAGGGTCACCAATGCTTATTTTCATTCGGCAGGGTCGTCTCGCTGATGGGAATTTTCATGAGACAGACTTTAGATACTTTACCGCGGAGTTCACAACGATTATGCACGCGAGATTTGTATCACTCCTCAGTGAGTGACGTGTGAAGTACGGATACACATACTTCACGATACTACTTATTACTCGGTTCTAAAGTATCGATTTCAAAAGTACTTGGTACCGAAAGAAAAGTATTGAGTAAGTACTTGCATTTACTCGTATTTTTTCTAGAGTCAATATTCATACTAATTTTAGTTAATTGGACCAGTGACATGGGGTGTTTTAAAAGATAGTGGAAATTAATTAAATTTCATACAGTAACTCTGATTCATAGAGATACTTCCCCTGTACTGTGATTCGACTTTAACTTTCATAGCTTCAAATAATTAATCAATAGATTAGAAATAATATTATAAGTTTTCTTCAAACTTACTCGAGGTCGGTATTAATTTTGAACGTATACATTTGCCTCCTACTTTAACCAATAGATAGCCCAATTAGAACTTGGAAGGCAGATACTCTCCCTAGAGATAGGGGTGCGCCAAAAATAGAACCTGCAAGGTGAGCCGAGAACGCGTAGGCTTTGTCTTTGAGCCCCGGCACGCTTCCTTCGAGAGGAAACACGATTATTTTTAATAATTTATCAATATTAAAATAAACAAACCTATAATGCATTTTTTAGATTCCGACGTTGACAGAAGCCTGTAAAGCATTTTATTTTTAGGTGCTTAATGCTATGATATTTAGCAACTTCACCATTAAGTGTGTTCCCGTAAGATATATGTGCACCGTACGCTAATAAATACACGTAGGGTTGCTGTCTGTTTTTTTTGTTAGTTTGACTGGTTTTAGTCGGGCATGTTTTGTTTTTTATCGCGTTCGGCCGGTGCGGCTATAGGATTTTACTGTAGTGCCAAATGGTGACAAAAATTAGCCTGGTTATTGATTGATATTATTAAACTGGTTTATAATAATATACTCTGTAATATGTATTAATAGTAAACAATGTTAACTTGTTACTTGTCCAGCTTTTGCTGTTTAAGCAAGCAAAGTCCGACTTTTACGGCAAATTATCTGTCCTAGTCACAGGTTACAGTCAGAACAACATGACAACCCTAAATACACGTGCACAAGCAGCGATCTATTACTCTACAGAGCATCCTCAGCAATTAACAGACCTCGCAGTGTCAACGGATAGTTGCACCTCGTACGTTTACATTTGCAGGCGGTGCACACAACTTGCATGATCATTTACGTATGGTATGTGAAAGAAAACGTAAATAAATATATCAGACATAATTATTTTTAAATAATTTCAAGTCATAAAATGTCATTCGATACACCGTAATGTTGACGAGTCTCGGAATGTTAAATAAAGCGAATGCACTCTCCACTTTAATAGCACCGAGAACTGGCCGTCATAACTGTCTCAATTGGGTGCTGTGACTCAGCGCCGGATATTTATCACAACTTGATAATAGCATTACAACACGTGCATTAATCTAATTAGTTTAATTGGGAGACTGTCACTGCGTTTCCGTTCGTCTCTTGTTCATATATAATCAAAGAAATAAAGGTGAACTTAGAAAACATGTCATGAGACCCCAAATAAGACATTTAAAAATTAATGAAAATGCTTCAGTGGTCATACACTATGGACTATCTACAAAGACCAATAACACTTTTCGGCTTAGGCTCCATCAGTAATGCTGTAGTCGTTAATACCCAATAGTCTCGCTCTGGACTCCTTGAGTACTTATAGCCCGTTCTCCCTATGTATGTCAACAGCGAAGGCCTGTGGCTCTATAGCGGATCTACTCTAAACCTGACAGATCAATCTGGGCTTCAGTTATGCTGTAATGCCGCTGTCGCTCAGCAGTGAAGACATCAATAAGGCTCATGATTATGATAAGACTGACCAGTCCAAGGGCACCCGTAGACCTCAACGCGCATGCAGACAGTGCGCCGGTGCGCGCTGTACGGTATGTAGCGAACGCGCGACGCCCAAATAGGCGGCTCCAGGTGATTCTTCTTCTCTAAGTACGTATTCGTGTTGCCAGACAGGATCTAACAAATAATACAATATTATAATTACCAAGAATAAATACTTACAGTGTTTTTCTAGTAAGATTTATCCAATATCAGTACAATTTTATTTCATGGTCCTTTTAGCTAAATTACTCTTAAATTCAAATATAAATGCTACAAGATGGCGTTAACATATTTAGTATATGACACGTTAAGTCTTGCTATTATTGTATGAGGGTATTTGTCAATTTTTGCGACCAATCTAGTATTACAGTACAGGGGAACGTGAGGCTGATAGCAAATTAGACCAAGCCGAGAGGGAGAACGAAACGAATGTTCTTTACGGCTCTCAAAGAAGTACCTGGTGAAATTACAATTCTGAGGATTCGACACGTAGGTGTCTATATTTTCTTATATATAATTCTATAATTAATTTTTAGTTAATGTCATCATGAAGTAATATATTAGAATCCAGAGTTCCTATCCTTCTCGCTCGTGTATGTTTGCCTACGATTCGCTAGGTTTTGAAGTCATAAGTACAAAATTTAAAATATTGATTTTTCAATAAAATGGTTAAATATAATCATTCAAATATCACAGCACTGACCTCCTGTCCATCGGCGGTGCGATATCGCACCCACTTGGCTAGTTTCGGCCGCCAGTACTCGAGCACGTACGCCTCGGCGAACTCGCGGCCCTGGCTGTTGCCGAACCGGCCCTGTGTGCCGACAGCTGTGATCACGTGCACCGTGCGCAGGTCCACCTCCAGCCACTCCGTGGATTCCGTGGTGATCTGCGCTTTCGGACACCACGCACCGCCCTTTATCTCTTGGTTCAATCTGCGAAAAATACACGAGCAGAACGTGGTAAGAGTATGACTATTTTTATGTCGTTTCTTGCGCCCATAGCTGGAAGTTGGTGATTGAGTGAAAAAAAATTAATTTGATTTCATTTAAAACCTTTAAATATCTTGACAGTCGTAATGATAAAAACTTTATGGAAATCCGATAGCTTTTAACTAGAAATACCGTTACCATAACTAATCGCGGTATATCTCCCGACTGTGGGCCCGGATAGCTCCAGCAGCTAAATGCACGCGTAAGGACGTAATATCGGCACCAACCACTGTAACCGATTCTAAAGGAATCGTTCGTTTTATGATAACGAAGGCACGATATATTCTAGATGTTTATAGATGACAACAATAAGTTTAAAATATTTCACACGAGTATACAATAATTAATATATAGATATTGTCATATTTAATTATTAGAAAATAGAAGCAATAGAAACTTATGTGCTTCCGATACACACAGTCATATTGAGGAATTAATTTTACAGAAGTCACTCAACAATATAAACAAACAACTTTTAAATAGATGGTGCTATTGTAAACAGTCAATGCCGACATCAGAAAAAAAACACACACACACACAAAAACTACACCCGACCTCGAATTTTATTTGAAAGTGCACATTCTTCAAGTGAAAATAAACACATTCAGATGTTGTTTTATTAAATAAACACGTTTGTTCGAAAAATACCAACCGCTCCTGTTCAATTTACATATTTGTGACAAAGGACAGCGTTCACAGAATTGTTGCGACCAGAGAGGATATTCCAAGCATTTTAATTATACGCCAAATTGTGATGTTGCTTACCTCACAAAATTATTCATGTCGTAAGTGCGAGTATTCAAAGTTTGTATTTGAAATATGTCCCGCGACCTGGATTTGTGGAGTAGAATGCAAAGATACTACGCCCTTTCATGAAAATGTTATAAGGTTTTTTATGTATGTAAATAACTTTAGCATGTGTAGGTGGTGCCCAAAGGACAGACGAGAGATTTCCTGTTTAGTTTTAATGTTAATTATTTTATTTACTGTTTTTGAAATTAAATTGCAACCGGTATAGGTAATTTCCACGTATTGTGATATGTGTAATTAAAATTACATTACAAAAAGAATCTCATACCAATAAAAATAGTTCACAACGCGTTGTGGCAATCGCAGGATAGTCACATAGCGAAATCCGTGTCGTGAATGTCATACTTTTCCACCACAAAGCGTTGAAGCGTATTGAACCATATTTGATAGGTTAGGTTAGAGTATGACAAACAACGCGTTGTGGTCGAATAGCATGTCAGCCACGACACGGATTTATAGCTATGTGGTTATTTTGCGATTGCCACAATGTGTTATGAGTAATTTTTCCACTCAATGATTTAGATCTTTGAGCGTAACATATACATATGTATAGCCTAGCTAAGTTATCAACGGCCACATTCATGAATGTCGATAAGTACAACCATCGGTTCGTAAATCTACATTGGGGGACTAACTGGTGTGAGCTTTTTTCGCTCAATGAGCGATTTCGACCTTTGAGCGTAACATGTATACTATTTTGAGTTGAATCAAACCAATATTGAAAATATCTGAAATCTATAATTAAAATTGGTTAAAAAATGTAGAGTGCGAGTGAGTGTATTTAGCGAACGTAATATGTATGTTAGCTGTCGTATATGGTAGCGCAGGAGTCGTGTCCACCGGCGGACAACACATCCGCGCGGCGCTAGCGCACGTGACCAGCGAGCGTATGCGTGCGGTTAGGGTCCGACTACATGTGACGGAATGGATACGTCGGACGCTGGTTATGGCATATTTACATTAGGCGACAGGCAACGCGTGTGACGTTATTATCATAACTGTAAGCTCATTTCATCTGTTAAACATCGTCCACACACTCCTTCGATTTATATCAATCAGCGATTATAACTACCACCCGCTATATTCAGTATAGATCACAATAGCAATACCCTATATAACAATTCATAACATAATAATGGCCGATATGAAACCACATTAATTAAAGTTGCGTAAACCTGAACTGCGTGACTCAGGTGAATTGCACGAAAACAAAAACCAAATGAAGCGTGGTATTTGTCTCCTAAGTACAACTTCTAATCGGTATTGTGGGTACTTCCGATGATTGATATTTCGCATATTACAAAAATTGTATGAACCACAGACTACCACTGGCACGTGTGACTCACGCCTTAATTCTAGCTACTAGAGCTTTTAACACGACCACACTTGGGATGCATTCATCGACCCAGTCGGTAATACTGCGAAAACTAACGTTAACTAAATTAAACTAAACTTTAAAATAGTCTCCATTCGTAACTTCTCTTTTAAAACGATTGGCACAAATGTTTATCTTATCGCACTTGATTTTTTTTTTGACAGGAGCAATTTGTATGTGTATAAGAAAGTGATGTTTTTAGATTTCCTATATTTTTTAACATTCCTCTCTCATTTCAGTAGTTAAACTATTCTCAAACTTCAACGAATATTTAAAAAACACTGAATTCCGCCATACATTTTGCACATAACAATAACGCTCTGTGGATTATAAAACAGCACTGAAAATAAATAAAATATTACCTCTCTGTATACTTAATAATATTATTTTGTCTATCTAGTAAAGAAATAATACGAATAGGCAATTGGTCATCGCAAGCGAATCTAAATTTGCGGTGATGTTCATATTTTCTTTTGATTTTCGTCAAAATTGACGATACATACTCCATAACAGACCGCAAATAAGAATTAAACAACTGCACTAGAGTGGAGTAGTATTTAATGTCCCATCCAGTCTTCAAGATAAAGCCAAGTATGCATTGAATGTTAATTTCTCATCTAAATATACGCCCAAATCTCTCATCACATGCACCCTTTTGAGCACAACTTTATTCAATACATAATTATAATTTACGGGTTTAAGTTTACAGGAAAAATATAGCGTAAATAAGAATGTCAGGACGCTTAAGAATAGAAACCATATCAAACCAAATTGGATATCGAGCATCACATTATAGATGCGAAAGTACATATCTCCGTCTTATTACACTATAGTCTAGTTAAAAATCCGAGTGAAGAGGCATAAAGTACCTATACATTTTGAAAATAAAAACATTACGCTACAATAACACGAAGACCAATTCATAGGCAAATATTTATATATACCTACCTAACGTGCAAACGCGAAACTACATAAATAAACAAAAATAATAATATGTTGTCACGTCTTCAAAAGTGATCGATCTATCAACTTGAAATATTCAGACAACATTACATTTTTACAGAAAAGTTTTTATACAGTAGTTCCCGCAAAGCTCCCGCGGGATCGCTACAGAGCCGGTAATGGTCGACACTGGCTCCACCCAACTCCTTTATAAATAGAAAGACAACTTCCAAGATATTTAAGAACCTTTTGAGTATTTTATCAAAGAAGACGGACTCGATTACTATATCATCAAAGTTGCATTCACTAATGTGGACAGTGTCAGCATTATTTGTTCAGTCTAGACTGTGAACAATGTGGCCAGTATCAATAGCGACAACATTTATTCTGGCTCTTAACGAGCACTTGTGCTAATCGAAAAGCTGTGCTAATTTGCATTGAAAATAATCGGTAAAGGACTTAGCAACGATTGTTTTACGGTCACGGGGGAGAGGGGGGCTTCTGGTCCTGGGAGGCCTCCAAACGGCTGCAAGTTTCAAATGGGGTTGGAGGTCCCAAATATAAATAAGTACTACCGCTAAAGCTTACATTTTTATAAGTCGATCTGTGCCTGATGCCATCCCAGGCCTCGGATAGGGTTAAGCCCACCACTAGCTCGATCCTCCCTATTACATCGCAAGGGATACGGCGCGTGAAGATATAGAAGTGAAAATCAATAGAGTATAATTAAGCATCTGTTAGAGATTAAACATAATCTTTTATTCAAATAAAATTATAATTACTATATACATATGTATAGGTATACTATATATACTGTCACAAATCAGGAATGCATTACAGCACATTGTTCTGTAGTTTTGAATACTTTCAATAGGAATAATTCGTATAGTACAGCATTATTCTTCATTGATGTCAAAACTTCGAGTCGAATGTACACATGCGACAATTAAAGGCATCACACGTGGCATTATTAACGTATTAATAATGGAATCATGACGCGCACCGTCTATTTGTACATGTAATATTAATATACACATGGCACGAACGCGGCGTGTGGAGTTAAAGCTGGCCTATTAAAACGGCCTAACTTTCATACATATCATATGTCAGACCGCGACACTTTTTTTTCCAAAAGCTATTATTTAGCCGCGGCATTACAACACGTCTGGTCATAAAGGTGTAGTCATATGTACAATTAAAAAGCACATTGCGCGTTGTCGTCGTTTATAACTGAGAAATGAGAATACCAAAAGAAATTAATTAAAAAAAAGGAAGACATATAAAGTGAAATAAACCATTACGATTATTATAAGTTTATCAGTAATAAACATCATAGTACACTTACACTCCTTACTTTCACCGACCCATCGATTAACTTGCCATTAAAATTTTTCGCATTTTCGCTCAGACAGCAAAGAAACTAGCTATTCCTTTTCATCGTAAAGATATCATTTTAAACTGGATTGCTGACACTACGTACCCGGGCTAAAAGTGCCTTTCAAAGCACTGAGAAACTAGAGATAATAAATTTATGGACAACCATCCAACGACCGGCCCGTAAGAGTTGCTTAACCGGCGCATCGCAGACTACACCACTGCGCCATCGGGCTTGAACGCAAAATCAAACAGTAGCGCGTAGCAGTTGCTTGTTCCGAATGTCTAGTGTGAACAAACGCTTACTATGTTGATAAACCTGAAACACGCTTCTAACTAGCTCTCACTCACCAATCGCTGTATTGGTGAACAAATACGGGCTGCCACTTTAACTTACTACGTACTACACCCAACATAAAAAGCTCAAAATGTGTAAGTAATTGCTTAAAAGCTGCAAGTGAAGTAGCAATATATGCAAGGCCACTATAATTAATTCAATAACAAAATTTTAAAGTTCTACAGCGACTGAAGTAACTGAATCGTATTCGAATTTTTAGAAGACTTATATTTTTTACTGCCAGGATCACTGTCTGGCTCGTGTTTAGTAGCTGTTGTCTGGGGATATTTTTGAAACATTCATCTCGTGTCGAACGCTCGTTTATTTTAAATTTTCATTTAACGCAAGAAATTCGCAATTCTAGTTTCCACATCGCCTGCAGCGAATGATGTCAAGCACTAGTCGTTAAGCGAACAAATAAAGCTTTATTCACACATATTATTGACGTAACAGTTCCGGCGCAGTACTGGAATAGGGCCTCAATTATCTAATATTAACGTAATTTTTTGTTGACACGCCATGTGACAATGGCAGCTTTTTGATACAGTTCTTCTTACTATATAAGTTAGCGAACGAACCTGTTATTGCTAATTCATCAACATGCCTTTGTATTGATAATATTTAAATCGTACTTTAATGTCAGCTTAAAATAAGGGTTTTTAAAAATTTTATTCACTTTTTTTCATTTCCAGTTTTTAAAGATCTTTAATTTCAGATTCATAACTAAGTTACTGTGGCGTTCATAATGTAGCTTTTTTTAAAGTATTTTATGAATGCTACAACGAAGCAAAAATTATAAGGCGTTGTAAAAGCCCATGCCCGAAGTATTTAGAAGATGACGATGCGTCAATAAACAATGCTGAATTCCTTTATGTTACCGACTGCATCCGCGGATACGCAGATTTTAGCCGCGAGTACAGATATTCGGATACAAATTTTTCACCCGCGAATAATGAAGCCGTGAATAAGGAGCTTCTACTGTATTTCCTTTGTCTCTGATTATTTTTTCTGTTTTTCTTTATAAACAATGGATGCATTTAGAATCCCATTTTCTTCTTGATAGTGTACATTTTCTTCTTATTTTTAGTTTAAAGTAATGAGTATCATATTTAGTCGTACATTACTGAACGGAGCCACAGCAACTCTCACATTTACCTGTCTATTTTTATATTTGCCCGTTTTAAAGCATTGATACAGACCTGCGCTAATACTATATTGGATCTGATATGCGTGAATAAAGCTTCAAGGGGAATGATCGATAAACATTTACGTCAAAACTATTTTTTTTTTGTATAGACCCTTGGATGAGTATATAATATCTGGAGTGTGGCTTTATTTTATGTAGATTTTATAAATAAATTTAACTAATTGCATGGGTTACGCTGGCTTTGAAATCCAACTGTGGGATATGCAGAAATGCCAATTGACTGCTTATAACCATTACTTATGCCATCACCTTTGATTATATGCCTGTCATCACAGTGAATTTGGCAATTTAAGCGTTTCGTAATTTAATCCAAAAATATATTTTCTATACAGATAAAAACACATAGTTTTTATGGCGTAAAATCATTATTTAATTTTTACTAATATATATCTCTTGATAACTAAAATATATTCGAGTTTGAGCTTATCTTCATTTTATGAACAATTCAACTGCATTGGTTTTCAGTTCAAAATAGCGACAGATCGATCCATTTCTGCCTCACGTGATTGTAATTTGCATGTTAATAAGCTACTAATCAGCATAAGCCAACGTCATCGATCATCATCGACGCACTTCCGCGATTTTACACAATATATCGATGAATTATACACCAAAGTGATCCACATAAAGTACTACTGCCTCCACTGATGGTAGCCGCTTGGAAATCCGCTCACAACTTTTTGAGATTATCGCGTACCGACAAACAGTCAAACGCGGAGGGTTTTTATAAATACGTAATGTAGGGAATACATGATGGCATTTGAAACGAGGCTAAATATGCAAATGCATATGCAACACGCAATAGCATATAATCCGGTCTCCGGTAATAACTTACATTCGGTATCGTGTACGTATCGTCCGTGTGAACTCGGCACCAAAGGCTCAAAGCAGTACATTAAGTTGGATTGAATCCATTTAGTGCTGCAAAACGCCTCGCTGTTACCGTCTAATGAACCGGGCGAAACATGTGTACCAACATCTCACTTTACCAGCATGTAGCCAGCGTACAGATGAGAGAGCGTTATTATTTCACATAAAACAAATAATAATAAAATGGTCTATCATCGCGGAATGGTAGTTTTTGACTTTACTCGAAGTATACTTACGTTTAGAAACATTTTATGTATTGAACTTTAGGGCATTAAAGTTCGGTGCATACAGGAGTGCATATCTGACGGCAGATACGTCAAGCGACTCGAGGAAGTATGCGACAGATCATCTCTTGATCATGTTTGTGCAAGGTTGAATCTAATGTCACGACAGTATTTGTCAGTATGGTTCTGTCTGAGGTTCCGCAAACGACGCGACACAGCGTTGAAATCTTTCCAAATAGGTACTTAAAATAATTTCTTATCGCTGAACTAGATAAACAGAAGAATTACATTTTAAATCACAATTTTCATGGTGTTGGATATGTTGGAAATAGATATGTGCGAAGCCAGGGCTTATAAGTAAGGCGAATGGTATTATTAATTACAAGTTGTCCCCGTTTCCCTAAAAGCCGCTGCTGAACCAACCAAAATTTCATATTCTCGCATAACGGCCAACAGATACTTGGACAGATACTGGGGTCGTCCGTGTTTCCTTCCAGGCCGCAGCAGGAGTAATTTAATTAGTATTTTTACTAATGCATTTTAGGTAATTTGATCAACATCGTGAATCGCCATAAAGCATTTTGTCTTTCGAGAGTTATATTATTTTACATCCCCAACAAAACAAGTGTCCAAGACATGTGTCCTTAGGTACTAGAATAAGTATATCATATAATATTTTAATAACAACATGTGACGTTACCAAATTCATAACTTTATAGTGCAGTAACTAAATATTTTATTTACAAAAATAAATTGGGCATTAAGACTCTTGCTTTATTTATTCAACATTATATGAACATTTATTTCTTTACTTGTATAAGAATATGAAATACAATGTCATTTCAATAAAATAAAAATATTGTTTATAAGTAAATAGAAATCATGTCAAAGTCATATCATTTTATGAAGCTTATTATAAAAAAGTTAATTATGAAGCTTTAGGTGGAAGTAATTTAATTCAGTATACTTATATTTCGTATATAAGTAAACAAATCAAAGGCGCTTTCAGCTTTCTATTTAACTATTTTAATTAAAATTTTGAACAGCGTACACTGTTATTAATTATGTTTTTAATTAAATCACCGAAATCACTTGACTTTATATTACAAAATATTGTTTCGAATGAAATCTGAAACAAATAGGATTATTACGAATATTGATCCACTCAAGTTATATTTAAATATTGAATCAATCAGTAGCGTCAACGAAACCAGAGTTCAACACTAGAATAAATATATCAACCGACCAGATTAGAAAACGTGTGAACGTTGCCGGTTGTTATATATTCCTAACAAAATGACAGTTCGATGTCCATCAGATAGCCGTTGTGTTATTACGAGAGAGTGCACGGAGGCGAGAGGACACCAAGTGGTGAGTAATCAGAGTCAATCAGAGAGGCGGCTCATTAGTGCGGGCCCGCGCGTCTATCACGCATTGTCACATCCATGGCGGCGGCGGCCAATCACCGCACACATTACACAAATTGAAGAGACGAGCCCTCAACATTTAACACCGATTATAAAGCTCGGTATGCATATTGGTACTTCCCACGAGCGCTTCGTGTGTGTCGAGTGGCGTTGCACTCGACACTCAGCTTCGCGAACTGTGTGTACTCAACATGACCCTAACTGTGAAATCTTTCGACGCGAAAATACACTTCCCATTTGGAAATTACGTGTGAACGGCCGATTACTATGTTACGTCTCGTAAATTATCGCAGAAGGCAGCGGTAACATCTGCACGCAGGTGCCGGCGTGGCATTTGGCATTACGGTTATAAAACCAATCGAAATGCCAGCGATGTGCTTTGGCATTTGATTCGGGTCGAATGTCGGGAAAATGACCATCTGCCTATTCCCGATAGCTTTGAACTGAATATGGTGGGAGCTTTATAGTACAGTGGGCGAGCATCGACCATCGGGTGCGACTAGCGAGCGGTAGGTACGTGGCGCGCAGCCCGTTCATTGGTTAATCAATTCTGTCTTTCCACTGTGACCAACTAAGTGGATGCAAGCTCGGAATACCTTTCTGCTGAGTCGGAAGATATAAAAAAGGCACACTCGGTGAAATACAATCTAACTAACATCAATCATATTTTCCAGCAACAAACAAAACCTTGAATCTGATAAAATCAACTGTTTTAGTCCTATCGATTAAGCTCGGCGACTAATAAATGTACTTATGTAGTATGAAGCTGTTATTTAACTTGCAATATTTATCAAATCTTCCAGATGAATTTTAAAGCCGACGTCCTCAGCCTTAAGCTTGAATTTTGCATTTCATAATATGGGTTTCTAATGAATAAGTCCGCTGAGATAATTACGATAAAATCACTTTTTTAATGAAAATTATAGTAATGAGTAATTTAGAAAAAAACCAGTTCTTTTGATTTTTTTTAATAAGAAACTTATTATTATATTTGATCAATATTATACTGAAAAATATACTAAATGAAAAATGCTTAAAAATCCACTTTGACCCTGGCACTCTGAGATGGGACGACCCGTCTCTGAAAACTTTAAAACTATTTATTTATCCGATTTTAAATAAAGATGGAAAGAAAAAGACAAATCTAAAGTCCACACAAAATTTAAACGGAAACTGAAATTTACGCAACATTTTTTGAACAAAACGATTACGCAGTTAAGAATAAGATTGGTTAAAGGGAATGGACCATGACCCTCCGCGCTGGTTAAACGCGGATTGGAGGGCATTAACGACTGCAAACGCAGCCGGGACCAACGGCATAACGTGCCATGGAGCATCTTGAGATAATAATTTTATTGGTCACCCATCCTGTCACCAACCTTTTCGTTAGAAACTTAACAACAACGATCGCGGACCGCGGCCCTTATTTACTACCTCAGCGAGCTACTCATCAGTATAGCAAAGCTTAAAGTTCTTACTAAATTTTATTTCAAAACTCAACCTTGACCAAAACAGTGCTATGTGCAAGTGTACTTAACGCCTTCTAGTATAGAACAAATACTTTAATTCGTATTTTCTTTCATATATAAAATGATTTGTACTTGAATGTTTTAAAATTATTTATTTAATATGTTATTTTTGTTATCAATTATTATCGCAATATTAGGAAATCCTCATAAATAATATGGATATTATACTCATAGCCTTATTACAATGACAAATCAAATTGTAAATGGTCATATTGTAATGGTCAATGGTTGCTATGGTCAATTTTGATTCCCCATAAAAACTTTCACTGCCGATTTCATCCCTTTGAGTGCTTATTTTCGGCATAAAATACTTATAACCTTCGTTACGTCACAATCTACCCAAATATCAAATTTTCATCGATCTTGGTCCAAAAACAAAGAAGTTGCATACAAAAATTTTCACCCTTTTTGACCCACTTCGAGGTGGAATTTCCAAAAATCCGTTCTTAGTACACCTCTACGTATTAAGACGAATGTACCCTCCGAATTTCAAGATTCTACGACCAGCGGTTTAGGCTGTGCGTTGTCTGTCAGTCAGTAAGTCAGGACATCTCCTTTTATACATATATGTATATAGATAGAGATAAGTATTCGACCAAAATTATCACATGTTGTTTCGTATCTTTCTTTTTGGGCGACTCAAAGTAGATCCCAAATGTGCGGCTATAATTTTTGTCACAATCAAGTCAGTTTTACTACAAATTATACAAATACTTTATAATTACCAACGTATTAATTAATGGTCAAAGGTAAATCCTCATATTGCGACACCGACTGCGATAAAACTTTAGTTTCTTACATTAAAAATATTAGTAAGAATTATTAATCAATGTTAATATCCGTATACCAATGCAAAATGACGTAACACATCGTCACCCACTAGACAGTTTTCGCGTGAGTAGATTAGATCTTCTGTCTAATTTAATTTCACCAATTCATGTTTACCACTATCGGTGATAGTGATTCAAGTAAATTCAACCTTTTACTCTCGGTGAAACCTCTAAACAGGTTTAGCTAGTTATATTAATAACCCAGTACTGTCATGTGTATATGATTTTTATTATTATTAGAAAGGTGCGTGTGTATGTGTCTTTCGAACAATATTTATGAAATAGAGCCTGATGCGTTTCCGTCACACAACTAAACTAATATTATAAAGAAGAAAGATTTTATCGTTCATTTCACTTTCACATACGGGAAGCTACATAATACGAAAGTGATACAGGATATAATTTAGAAATAGTTCAAAACAATGTAATTTGCAATTTTGAAATGTATTGAGAAGGAGAATCGCACACACTCAACTCAAGTTTATCGGAACCCATTATCAACAAAATGTGACGCCGTAGACTTGCAGACAGGCATCTGTCTGGTAGTTCCGACGACGTTCATTAATCCACAAAAAAACAGTCTCGAATGCACTGAATACATAAATATAAAGTGATTTAACGGGCAGACCTAAAAGAATAGGTCTTTAAAGGCAATCCTTTGAATTCAGTAGTGGAGAAAATTTCTCTAAAGGTCCCTAAAAGATAGGTATATGTTCACGATAAAAATTACAGAAATAAAACACTGAATTTATGTCTGTTATGATAACTTAGTGCATATTTTAATTCCACTTTTGTGGTATTGTTTTAATGTAATAGAGCAACATTATTTTCAAACAATGCCTATTCGGTAGTAGTTGCTTAGTGCAATATTTGTGGCAATAAAAATCACTAATACTAATACATTGTAAACATGAACTGTCACACTATGTGTAAAGCTATGAAGCATAGGTATATCTTGTTCGTTGCCTTCATGTCATTACATTAGATATGTCATTTGGATAATAAATAACCCATTTTCTTTGAAAACCAATTACAAATTAACCGAATTTTATAGAGATAAATAATTGAGATAAGGCCTATCCTATTTTTAAAGTAGACCAAATTAAAGATATATGTGTAATTTAATTGAAATTGGTGAGTGAGTAAAATTGAGACGCGAGATTTTTATAAAAAAACGATCATTAATTTATAAATCTGTAAAGAGAAAGTATTTATTTAATATTGTTATGATTTGAATGGAGAATTAATAAATTATAAATACATATTTTGAAAAGGATTGGATGAAAATTAACATTAAGTTTACATTGTAAATACTTTTTATGGAGCCATTAATTAATTCGTAAATCTATAAATAAAAATGTAGGCTTACAAACAACGTACAGGCCGAATGTGAAAGGCACTAGAAATACTTTTTATAAATTAAACTTTGGTGGTAGGAATAGGGGTTGAATATATATTCTTTTGTATCCTAATGTTAACGGGAACATAGTCACAGTGAAGCGTGGCGGGGTAATGCATAAATATAATTGTCGGGCATTTATTCGTCCAGCGAAGCTATATAAGGAATAAATCTTAAGCGCAGACTTGAAAGTAGCTTCTTGCGTGCAGCTTGCGGTACGATATGAGCCACACAAAGTTGCTGTTCTGAAGAAATGCACATACTACTGTGCTCATTAATTGAAGACGAACGTCTAGGAGAGACGAGAGTCTAATTGGACGTATGACCCTCTCACATAAACTAAAGTACGCGGTCACATATAAACCATTCGTTGAGTGGTGTTTCGAATGTCTTGAGACGGGGTAACATCATTTCTCAGATACAAAGTCAAGTAGCTTAAAGACTTTGTCTTATGAAAATTTGAAGCGACGAAAAAGCGCAATAGAATAATATCTGAAATCAATGTTTACGTCAACTACGACGGTTCATCTCACCGTATACGTAACGTTCAGTATATATTTTGTTTGCGTCGTAAGAAACAAGTGATATGTAAATGCAATTACCATTTGTGATATTCAAAGCGTTTTATATTATAGTACAGTCCAACATGTTTTACGCGCACCACCGACGTAGTGGTTTCATAATGCAATAAAAACGAGCCGAGATCGGTTTTAATCTAAATTTCGCACAAATACATAAACTAATAGGTTTTTCTGCAACCTACAAGTATTAAATTTTATTGCCTAATAGTTTCGTAGATCAAGGAACCATTTCACCGATTTATAATCTGGATTTTGAGATTGTCATAATAGTTTTATATATTTTTCTAATAACAAAGTATAAAACCACTATCATTTCCAAAGTAAACAACTTGAATTATTAATTATTCTTGATAAATAATCCAGAATTCCATCTCATGTAATTATGCTGTGCCGCAAATCACTGCGCGTGATTTAGTTAAAATTGAGGATCGTTGAAAAAAAAATCCACAACACAACTAAAGATAAAAATGAACATTTAAGCAAAAATAAGCATGAATTCGAATTTAATTATGTATATTAAAAGTACTCGACCTAGCTGATTCATCATTACTGAACGTGAACTATTGAAATCGGACACATGATCTTTGATCAGTAAAGTTATTTCGTAGAATAAACCCACACACAATAAGGAAGAATTTTTATAAAATCAACCCAAAAGGGGTACAATAGGGGTTGAAAATTTGTACGGAAGCCCGTAACCGTTCATGTTAGTAATGTGAAACTTTATTTTTAGACTAATAATAAAGAATTACTAGTACCCGT